ACCAAAATCAGACTGATTATATTCTTTGCAGCTAAAGATGGAGAAGCTCTACATAGTCAGCAAAAATAAGAGTGGAAGCTGACTGTGGCTCAGATCATGAACTCCTTATTGTCAAATTCAGACTTAAACTGAAGAAAGTAGGGGAAACCACTAGACCATTCAGGTATGACCTAAATCAAATCCCTTAGGATTATACAGTGGAAGTGACAAATAGATTCAAGGGATTAGATCTGATAGAGTGCCTGAAGAACTATGGACGAAGGTTTGTGACATTGTACAGGAGTCAGGAATCAAGACCATCCCCATGGAAAAGAAATGCAAAAAGGCAAAATGGTTGTCTGAGGAGGCCTTACAAATAGCTGAGAAAAGACAAGAAACCAAAGGCAAAGGAGAAAAGGAAAGATATACCAGTTTGAATGCAGAGTTCCAGAGAATAGTGAGGCGAGATAAGAAAGCCTTCCTCAGTGATCAATGCAAAGAAATAGAGGAAAACAATAGAATGGGAATGACTAGAGATCTCTTCAAGAAAATCAGAGATCAAGGGAACATTTCAGGCAAAGATGGGCACAATAAAGGACCGAAATGGTATGGACCTAACAGAAGCAGAAGATATTAAGAAGAGGTGTCAAGAATACACAGAAGAACTATACGAAAAAGATCTTCATGACCCAGATAACCACGATGGTGTGATCACTCACCTATAGCCAGACATCCTGGAATGTGAAGTCAAATGGGCCTTAGGAAGCATCACTATGAACAAAGCTAGTGAGGTGATGGAATTCCACTTGAGCTATTTCAAATCCTGAAAGACGATGCTGTGAAAGGGCTGCACTCAACATGCCAGCAAATTTGGAAAACTCAGCAATGGCCATAGGACTGGAAAAGGTTAGTTTTCATTTCAATCCCAAAAAAAGGCAATCCCAAAGAATGTTCAAACTATTGAACAATTGCACTCATCTCACATGCTAGCAAAGTAATGCTCAAAATTCTCCAAGCCAGGCTTCAACAGTACGTGAACCATGAACTTCCAGATGCTCAAGCTGGATTTAGAAAAGGCAGAGGAGCCAGAGATCAAATTGCCAACATCTGTTGGATCAGAGAAAAAGCAAGAAGAGAGTTCCAGTAAAACATCTATTTCTGGTTTATTGACTACGCCAAAGCCTTTGAATGTGTGGATCACCACAAACTGTGGAAAATTCTGAAAGAGATGGGAATACCAGACCACCTGACATGCCTCTTAAGAAATCTGTATGCAGGTCAAGAAGCAATAGTTAGAACTTGACACAGAACAACAGACTGGTTTCAAATCGGGAAAGGAGTACATCAAGGCTGTATATTGTCACCCTGCTTATTTAACTTATATGCAGAGTATATCATGAGAAATGCTGGGCTGGATGCAGCACAAGCTGGAATCAAGATTGCTGGGAGAAATATCAATAACCTCAGATATGCAGATGACACCATCCTTACGGCAGAAAGCGAACAAGAACTAAAGAGCCTATTGATGAAAGTGAAGGAGGAGAGTGAAAAAGTTGGCTTAAAACTCAACATTCAGAAAACTGAGATCATGGCATCTGGTCCCATCACTTCATGGCAAACAGATGGGGAAACAGTGGAAATGGTGACAGACTTTGTTTTTTTGGGCTCCAAAATCACTGCAGATGGTGTCTGCAGCCATGAAATTAAGACACTTACTCCCTTGGAAGAAAAGCTATGACCAACCTAGACAGCATATTAAAAAGCAGAGACATTACTTTACCAACAAAGGTCTGTCCAGTCAAAGCTATGGTTTTTCCAGTAGTCATGTATGGATGTGAGAGTTGAGCTATAAAGAAAGCTGAGTGCCAAAGAATTGATGCTTTTGAACTGTGTGTGTTGGAGCAGACTCTTGAGAGTCCCTTGGACTGCAAGGAGATCCAACCAGTCCATCCTAAAGGAAATCAGTCCTGAATATTCATTGGAAGGATTGATGTTGAAGCTGAAACTCCAATACTTTGGCCACCTAATGCAAAGAACTGACTCATTGGAAAAGACCCTGATGCTGGGAAAGATTGAAGGCCGGAGAAGAAGGGGACAGAAGAGGATGAGGTGGTTGGATGGCATCACCAACTCGCTGGATATGAGTTTGAGCAAGCTCCAGGAGTTGGTGATGGACAGGGAAGCCTGGCGTGCCGCAGTCCATAGGGTTACAATTGGTCAAACATGACTGGTTGAAAGACTGAACGGAACTGAACTGAAAGACAAGGGTGGGTCAGATGTAGTTTACAATACAGCATTCTGAAGCAAACTTCTGGATTGGTAGATTGTGTATAAACATCCCACCCTCTGTTCACAGAATTCTCCAGGCAAGAATATTGGAGTTGGTTGCCATTCCCTTCTCCAGGAGAACTTCCTGACCCAGGGATCCAACCCTGGCCTCTCACTTTGCAGGCAGATTTTTCACCATCTGAGTCATCAGGGAAGCCCATATATCACACACTCTCTTCCAAAACTTTACTCTACATTGGAAATATAGTCCAGAACACTTACAACAATAATTGTTCCCTGACACTTCTGGTTTTATATCAAGGAGTGACTCTGTAATATCTTTGGGTTCTAATTTACTGATGGAAAATCAGTAAAAATTTGGAAATGAAAAACAACATTCAGGAGGTCATTTGGTGACAGGAGAGCAGAGAAGAAGGACCAAGGCCTGAGACTGGTTCTTGCCTAGATTTTGTCTCAACCACTTAGTTTCTTTAGCCCTGGCTAAAATGAGGATGGTAATCATGCTAGTCACCAGAAAATGTGAGTGTTGCTCTTTGAAGCTCTCAGTGAAGCCCGCACTATGCAACTGTAGTGTCCTAAAACTGAGATGATCTTGAGTGAGTGTGTTAGTCACTCAATCATGTCCAACTCTTTTCGATCCCATGGACTGTAGGCCACCAGGCTTCTCTGTCCATGGGATTCTCCAGGCAAGAATACTGGAATGGGTTGCCATTTCCTTCTCCAGGGCATATTCCCAACCCAGGAATCAAGCTAGGGTCTCCTGCACTGCAGACAGATTCTTTACCATTTAAGCCACCGGGGAAAGCAAAGTCAATGGGGGGGTAGCTGGGGGGGACGGAGGCTCAAGGTGGAGGTGATATTCTTTTCCAGTCCCTGGACTGTAGCTCGTCAGGCTCCTCTATCCATGAAATTTTCCAGGTAAGACTACTGGAGTGGGTTGCCATGCCCTTCTCCAGAGGATCTTTCTGACCCAAGAATTGAACCCAGGTCTATTGCATTGCAGTGGATTCTTCACCATCTGAGCCACCAGGGAAACCCCTGAGATGCTGTTAGGACAAAATTTTGCATCCCAGTTTGTGCAGCTGCAAAACTGGGGTGAAGATGCAAAATGGATTTCTTCTCTCCAAAAATGAAAGATTTGCTAACTCAGAACTTAGGCACAACCTTAATCAGATGTGAAAATAAACAGAAACCTTTTTCCTTATAAGAGCTTACTTGTTTTTCTTAGATTATAGTAGCTGCATCTAACACTCAGATCTGTAGTCTCATTCAAGTTCCATTGTGTGAGCAAGGCAATTTTTTAAAATTAGTAAAATGAGCATAAATCTTTTTTTATATTCAATTAACAAGACCATTGTGAGATTTCAGTGAGGTAATGTACACAACTTGTCATACATTCATATGTTCTGGAACACTGAGTTTCACTTGATGGTACTGATCAGGAGACCAAGTCTGGTCCTTGGTCCAGGAAACTAAGTCTTCTCCAAGTCACTTTTCCAGGACCTAGGTTGAGTCCAAGGTTTGCTTCTTCCCATGTATCCTTCCCTCTATGTGCACTATGAAACAAGCCATCTAACATTTCTTACTCCATAACTTTGCTCTCTATACCCACACCTCCCCTCCTAATAAACCTTCTTCCCAGGCCATATTTAAGCCTCCTTTAATGATATGTGTAGGCTTCCCAGGTGGCACAGTTGATAAAGATCCCATCTGCCAATGCAGGAGACACATGAGATGTGGGTCCAATCCCTGGGTTAGGAAGATCCCCTGGAGTAGGAAATGGCAACCCACTCCAGTATTCTTGCCTGGAAAATTCTATGTCCATGGCGTTGCAAATAGTCGGACACACATACACTCACACACACACAAATGATATGTGCAAGGAATACAGCATGTGTGTTGTGTATGTAACATGATTTATAGATTTTCCCTAAGTAAAGTAATGCATAATAATTACAGAAAATTTGGACTAATCAGATAAAGCTTCAGTGGGAGCTGGGCTTGGAGCTGGACTAGGACTTGGGATTCAGACTTGGACTTGGATGTCCTGAGTTCAACACCAGGCTTGGTGCTTCCCACTTCAAAGGTCTATTCCCAACTCCTAATTGTTGGTCTAATAATCTGAAGTTTGGTTCAAACACCACCTATATCGGACTCATCAGAGTGCTCCTTAGGAATGAAATTCCAAGGTCCCAACTTTGCCCGGGGCTGAGCCATAACCACTGAAGATAAGGCCTGGAGATATTTTCAGATAGCTACAAAAGTGATTCTCATGCAGAAGGAAAACTCTGCTCTAGATTCTAGACCACACTTGAGTAGCAAAGATGGGGTGGTCCAGACCTGCAGCACTGACATCAATAGTGCTTGTTAGAAATGAAGAACCTTCCCACAGTGCCCAAATTCACTGAATAAGAACCTGCATTTTAAGAAAATCTCCAGATTTTATCACACATTAAAGGTTTAAGAAGCTCTACTGTACCTCGATCTCAACTGGGAAGCTTTACAGCCTAATAATAGCTGGGCCCCATCCAGAGATTCTCATGTACGTTCTATTCTGGATACTGGGGTGTGGCCGGGGCAAAAGGGCTCCTATTAGCTCAGTAAGTTATTTTAATGTACAGCCAAGGTACATTGTCCCCTAAATCCCAGCTCTTTAAGGTTAAACCATAACATGAGTTAAACTGACTTTTGCAGGTTTGCCCAGAGCCCCAAAGGATCACTTAGGGTAAACATTAGTTTTTAAGGGACAATGGACTCTGGGGACAAACAAGTTCAACCACAACAGCTTTAGGTTCACAAAACCCCAGGCGGCTGACTTCCGGTACCTTCCCGCGGGGTAGTTGGGCTTCTTGCTCCCACCCGGCCCCGCCCGGCTCACCCCCTCCCCGCCCCTCCTCGTCCCGCCCCCTCCTCGTCCCGCCCCCTCCTCGTCCCGCCCCCCCTCCGTCCCGCCCCCCCGTGACGTGCCGCAGCCAGCCGGGCTCATGCGCAGTGGCATCCCGCGCCCCGCAAGGCTGCACCGCCTCGGAGCTTGTCATTCTCCGCGGCGCGGCTGCGAGTGCAAACTGCGGTGCCTGCTCGCCGGCTCGCTTCCCGGCGCGCCCCCGATGTGACCGACTGCTTGGGAGCGGGCTGGCGGCGCTCCCGGCAGCAGCGCCTCGGCTTTTCCCCTGCTGCCTTTCTTGAAGAGCCACAATTCCCTCGGAGCCGGAGACACGCACCAGGGGCTCGGAGCGCCGCACTCCGGGGCGGGCGGCTGCTGCAGCGCTCGGGACCACGCGGAACCGTGTAGCTTTCGTCGTCGCCGCAGCCGCCAGGCGGTGCGCCCCGGCGATTGCCGGGCTCCGGGCACCGCGGAGCCCAGGCGGCTGGTGCAGAACGGCAGCGCCTCGCCCCGCACCCGCCGCCGCCGCAGCCGGGGCAGTGCGGGGCCAGCGGGGCTCTGCGCAGCCGGAGAGCTGTCCCCCTTGAAGGCTCCCTGTCGCCTGCATTCCAGTAAGTTGACTGTAGTTTATAAAGTTGGAGGGTGGCGCCGCGGGAAGGAGAGGTTCGTTTTTACTATCTTCACGTCGTGGGAAGCACCTTTTGTTAGCGGGGTTCCAGCTTGGGGAGTTGAGAAAGCGAAGCCGCGGACAGGGCACGCCGGCAGAGGCAGCCGTCCCGGGCGGGCTGGCTCCTGTCTCTGCTGAACGTGCCAGTTGGAAATGTGCTGTGAGAGGACAGGTGCTCCGAGGGCATTTCGCCTGCTGCTGATTGCTCATTCCGAGCTCCTTGACTGTATATGTGTTGTGTGTGTGCGCGCGCGCGCGCACAGGAGATAGGGGGGTCTTGTCACCTCCGTCCCAGGTCCTCAGGGAAGTGACTCCAGTAACATTCCTGGATGCGCTAGGTCTTCAGGGATGGAGGCTAAATCATTCTTTCTCTGGCCTCCAGGCTTCCCGCGCATCCCACTTTCCCTCTAGGTAGAAGTTCCCAACGTTTCCCTAATTAGAGCCCAATCCTTTAGGGGAAAACAACTTAATATGTCAACCTACAGTTTTGTGCTATAGGGCAAATAAAATGAGAAATCCGCTCAGTGTTGTGTGATTCCATTTATGTAAAGAATGTGAGCAAATTTCAAAGCAGTCGTGTTCAGATGATGATACTTGGGTTTCACCCTGACTGTCCTGCACCTCTTATGTAAGCCTCCCTGCCGGATAAGTCTGTCTCTCTGCAGTGGCTGCAGCTGTGGTTCTCCATTCCATTTGTTTAAGGTCCAGCTTGAACGTATTTAATGAAAATGCTGACATGATATAGCGCCCTGCAGTCTGAAACAGAGTGCACTCTTCAGATTGGAGTGTCTTCTTCTAATAGGGTGCATGCGAGGAAAAACCCAGTATATTTTTCAAGGCAGCTCCAGGAATTAGACACATAAATCATGTTTTAAAATAGCATGCATTGTGCAGGGAGCTTGCAGAGGACACCTTTGAACACAACCCCTTTGTTTTAGAAAAAGTGGACATTGTTCATGCCAGACAATTGTTGAGTCTGAAAGTTAAGTGTACTGTTAGGCTTAATTATCTTAATAAACAAAGAGCATGATTTATAGGTAGCTGCCCTGTCCTACTTTGAAGGATAGAATTCCAGAATTCTTTAACCTTTCTCTCTCATCTGTTCCCCCAGAGATTCCTCTTAAGCAGAGAAATAGATTATCATCATTGATGTTTAATATTTGAGTTGATTAAATTCGTAAAAGGATAGTTTGAAATACCATACAGTACTGCTACGACTGTGAAGACATGAATATTAGAGGTAAGGAGAATATTCAGATTTTTTTGGTATGGAAGTCATTAGTTTAATAAAACAAATAACATTCAGACTGCCCTAATAGATCTTCTTTTGATTTGGACTTGTATTGCAAAACCCAGGATTGTGGTTTAATGTGAAATTTCTTTAGGTGCTCCTTAGAAAAAGAAGCACATTTATTTATAGTTTTCTGGCACATGGAACAAGATGAACTAGTTGTAGGCATCTCATTTAAAATCATAGTATTTTAAGGAATTCTAAGAAAATACACAAAATGTTATTTCAGAAGTTGATAAGTTATTCAACACAGTGTAGTTGGTGAGAACATCCATTGCTTATCTCAAGATCTATATCCAAGTATAGAAGCTGAAACAGATTGACCCCCATATAGGCTGTCACATCAAGGTTAGGAGGACAGACTAGGGAGACTTGCTGCTGGCTCAGGTACTGTCTGAGCCTCGGCGTGTTACCTGAACTCTGCGCCTCAGTGTATTTGTCCGTAAGATGGGGATTACAGTACCTGCCTCCCTGGATTGTGATGATGATTAAATGAGTTCATAGATGTAAAGCTGTTAAACCAGTGTCCGACTTATTAAACTGGGTAAAAGTATCATTGTTACTAAAGAAAGTCCTTCTGTGGGTACTCTTGACATGGAGTGAGTGAACGACTGCCGACAGAGGTTAACAGAAGCTGTTCGCATGTATCACAGGATACAGGGTATAAGCGTTTATTGAACACCTCCTGGTAATGTAGACACCAGCTGGTATTTGACCTATCATCTCTTTCGATTCCTTTTCAAGGTGGTGGCTTCATCTCCACTTTGGAGAAGAGGAAACTGGAACTCAGCAAGATCAAATCATAGAAATCGCATTTGGGCTTTTAACCCATGTCTGTCTCTTTCAAACCCTATCCTTTTTGGCCCTGCTGCCTCAACTTCCAGAATGCTTTTTTCTTCTCTTCTCCTCAAATCCTCATAATAACATAATAAAATAGGTGCTGTTCTTGTCTTTCACTTACAGATGAGGAAATTTACATTTAGCTGTAAAGTATGCAGAGTGCTTAACTCACAGCATAGTTCTCCATGACTGGGAGCTGTTACTGTTCTCATAATTATTGTTAAAAGGCTTGTCTACCTTAGCACATTTCACCCAGCAGGTGAAATGGGTTTTATGCTTTGGTTTGAAGTGGATTCCATTGCTTTTTCCTTTCCTGCTCATATATTCAGAGAATTGAGAAAAAGAGAGTGGTGTGTTACGTTTCCTGCTGGAGCCCGCCCCTCCCGGGTTTGTTTGCTGCCTGCAGATGAAGCTGCGGGATCCGCACAGCCTGGTGAACCACCGCAAGCTGGTCATTCATCTGCAAGTGGCGTCATCTGTGAGCATGAGTTCAGTCCTAGCTGGAGAGTACCCCTGGGGCAGAGAGAGAGAGAGTGTACACTTTGCTGCATATTGTACTGTTTGTTCAGAAATGGCAATAATTTATATTTCATGTTAAATAAGCATGCTTCCTCTGGGCCTTAGTACAGTGTGGTCGGAAGCAGTTTCAGGGATCATGTGTGAGCTGTCCAGTCGGCCTTCCTTATCCATAGGTTCTACGTCTGTAGATTCAACTGACCAAGGGTTGAAAATATATTTTTAAAATTCCAGAAAGTTCCAAGAGGCAAAACTTGAACTTACTTTGCTCCAGCAGCTATTTATATAGCATTTACATATTTAATGTTAACATGGCATTTACATTGTATTAAGTGTTATAAGAACTCGAGAGATGAAGTGTGTGAGAGAATGTACTTTAAGGTTATATGCAGATATAATGCTATTTTATATAAAGAACTTGAGCATCCACTGATTTTGGTATCCTTGGGGGTTCTAGAACCAATTGCCCATGGACTGGTGGACTGCACTTTATTAAAACTCTGGTCCACAGCCTGTTGAGCATCTTACTTGACTTCCAAAAGTTGAGAATGATTGAAAAGTTACTTTTTTTCCTGTAGCTTCCTTAGAGTATCATCCAGATCTACATAGTTTTCTGGCCCTTGGTAAATATTAACTCATTTTCTAGATATTAAAATGTAATTGCTATCAAGGGCACATAGGCCACAGGCAGTTTACAGACTGATTTAATATTTAATTAAACCTGGTATCCTGCCACTGAAAGTTGCTTCAAGACAGATATTCTGCCTTGGCTTTTTTAAATAAAAAATTCTCTGTACGGCATGGCGATTAAGGTTAATAATATTGTATTGCCTATTTGATGGTTGCTAAGAGTATATTTTAAAAGTTCTCATATGAGATTATTTTTAACTATGTGTGGTGATGGATGTTAACTAGACTCATCTCGACCATTTTGCAGTATATACAAATATTGATTCATTATGTTGTACACCTGAAATTAACATGATTTTGCATGTTAATTATATCTCAATTAAAAAATTTAAAAGTCCGTGGGTGCAAGGTTCCAGGAGGGTGTCAGAAAGCGTCCTTGCCATCAGCTGAGTCTTTCCTCATCTCTCTGAAATATCTTCTACTTCAATTTTAGCCCTCCTGCCAGAGCACAAATATTCTCTTTACTCTTTTAAGTGCTTTTACATTTCAAATGTTCCTCTGCTCTGGGTGATTTGATAGTAAAAGTCTTCCTTAGTCACTTCTATGACTCAAGTTGGGGCCAGAAGTTACTTTCAACTAATTCTTTAGAATTTGCATAGTGTTATTTCTTGTTAACTGTTTGTTGGCTTATCTGTGACCATCTCTGTTTCCAGACAACTTTCTTCCAACATCCAGCTGTCAGAAGATATAATAGTACCAGAAATGCAGGCTAATTATGGTATGAATAAAATGAATGAAGACCATTTACTCTTCCCCAGTCATCTCTCCTGTTTTGAATTATCTTCCCTGTAGGCTTGGGGAGTTGGGGGCTGATTGTATTTCTAAAGCTCTTGCCTCAGACATCTGGGAGAAACACGTGGAAGGTGATAGCAGTTCTCCAAACAAGCAGTGCATGTGCAACACGGTAGAGACAGCCCTTCAAGGCCGGGATGCTGCTGAATTTGAGGGTGGGGGTGATTGTGGGTACAGACGGCTCCATGATTTGTCTGCTACATCCTTACTGGATGGAACAAATAACTAACACAGAACCCTTCATGTGTGCTGGCTGCCATGCTAGGAACTACATACTCATTTACTTGAATCCCCATAGTGACCTTATGTGGTTACTTTGTTACCATTTTTTTTGCAAGCAGAAAGATCAGAGCACTTGTCTAACAGCACGTTAGTGAGTTTCAGACCCAGGAGTGGAATCCGGGAGTCTATGAGGCCTAGTGTTCTACTGCGTAATTTGGGAGCCTTCATTATCGCCCAGCTTTGTTGCATAGATGTCTTGTGCTGTGCTTCTCGAAATAATCCTATTCAGTCTCACTCCATCCCCACAGTGACCCTTGGATAGAACTGAAGGGATGGTTGAAGGTCTGTGCCCACAATCTTCTAGATCTTTGTGGAGGAGGAGTTTAAAGCTTAGTTCATTCAATGATCTCAGAAAAGAAACCCATATGTTGGCACTGTGAAATAGGAAGCATATAGCCATCCACTGATAACGGGATGCAGTGAAGAAGCTTGCAAACTTTATCTGTGTTTGATGTCATGGAGTTGCGTCATTCTCATTCAAGAAAGAACAATCTGAAATTTTCTCTGGTGATTTCTAAAAAAGTGAATCAAAATTGATTTAATCAACAGTGAACATTACTGTAGTGATGTCATGTATCACAGTGAGACTATGGTTTTTAAGTAAATGAACATGTGTGTCTCACAAGTAAGGTACAGGCATGTTGTCTCAGAAAATGAACATTGTGTCACATCTTCTGTGTCTGCATCCTAGTCTCTCTAACTGCGCTCGAAGTGCAGAGGGAAAGGGCAGAATTTAAAACCAATGTC